CCTACCTATGGAAGAGATACCCTACGACTGCAGGGATTAATAGGCTACAGAGATCTCAAACGTGTGACTGTTTCCTTCAGGTCAAACGTGAGTCACATCCGTGGGATGGTTTGTGAAACTTGACTTTGCTTTTCCAGATCCGGAGAGGAAGAAAATAGTTCTGCCTGCAAGGCGTGCTGCTTCAGTATGTCCATATGCAACTTAAAGCTGTCTCCTACCGAGGCTTTACTGAATGTGCACGTTAAACTTGATTTTTAAAATAAATTGAAGCACTGCCACAACGGTTTGCCTAAAGCTAGCAATTGCTTTTATATAACTTACAGCTCCACAATCAGCCTCAGTGGAGAACTTACACATCTGCAGATGACTTACATGGGAGCCTTGTAAATGCTTCCACAAAAGGCAGTAACCACAGTAAATGTTCCCCCCAGAGGAAAAATTATCTAAAGAAATATTGAAAGCAATAGGGAGAGTCACGACTCCCACAGAGAGATAATTTTGTCTCTCATTTCAAACCGAAAAAGAGGATTCAGCTGGAAATTCAGCCATGGGCTCGGTGGGTCTTAACCTCTTGACATTTTGGCTGTGCAGTGGGAATAGATACACCACACAAGAGATGAAAACATCTGCAAAGCACTTCATACCGTTTCAGACACCATGTCACTGCAAAAAAATTGAAATATGAGGACCAGAACCACAGGTGCTGCCTCCAAAGTCACACTTGTCCTTGAATGGGAAAAACCCAATTATCAGCCATGCCTGCTCCTTAATGGATTTTGATCGTTGGAAGCCAGCCTGGAAAAACAACTAATTCATTTACAGTAATAAATAATAACATCCACTCGCTACCGAAGCATGCACCCATCACTACTGGTGAGCCATTTAAATGCCACTCACTGTGACCATCCTTCTTCTTAATAACCAGTTACTTAATGGGAAGAAAACATGCCAAAGCTACCAGTGATGTCTCCTTGGAAAGTCACACGCGAGTGACTTCATGCATGGGATAAGCGGTACGGGCGATGGGGTAATTAGCTCCAGCAAGTCATTATCCTGCAAACAGCTGCACGCTCTGACTTCTGAAGGAGTTTTTCCACTGGATTTTCAGCCACTGGAGCTTGGCCAGAAAACTGTCACGCCCATCATCTACACAATACCGCTATAAGAAACAACGGCCACAACTGATGCTTTAAAGGAGAAGTCCCACTCTGCTGCTATAGAGTGGAAAGATCAAAGCAACTTGCACTTTTTTGGTTGGATGGAGACAGGGCAATACATTTTTAAGGCCAGTATTAGTAGTGACCACCTAGCTGGAAAGATTTATCACCTCGACATGAACCATACAAGAACAGGCTATAAGTAGCTGTCGAGCTGCTTGTAGCCTAATTTAGTATTGATTTAAACAATTACAGCACGAAGTTTAATGCACAATAATTTTGAGACAAATTAGTTTCATGGTTATTCAGTCACTCTTAAAAGGAAAGGGATTTACAATATTTTACATTTAAGGATGGAAGAATGGCAAACAAGACCATCCTCCTACTTAACTGTAGTATTGACAAAGGGCAGCTGCAATTTTTTTTTAAAGCATTATCTTTACAGAAATGGATGATTCATCTGTGAGGACATGATGGCACAGGATGCAGAAAACCTCTTATCTATAAGCTAATTCAGTTCAAACATGTGCTGATAGTTATCAAAAAGCAGCTATTATCAGCCTGTGCAGTGGGAACTGATAAATTCCTGAGTCGTGTTGAAATCACAGCGCCAGCTCCTCCCGCAGAAACTTCAGAAAGATATTCAGGATAGAAAGGAGTGGGATGGTTGAACCATGAACCCCTCCACGGATGACACAAGGCAAGAAAAAGTAACACAGCGCTGGGAGAGAGGTGCAAGGCTCATTCACGCTACACACTGTATTTTCATCATACCCATGAGGTGATGAGGGTGAAAATTTCAGGCTCCAGCACTGTCAATGCAGAAATAGCCTTTTTTTTCTTTTAATGTAAAATCAATAAAATTATTTTAGGGAGCTATTTGGATGACTTGGTTCAAAGAGGCAGCAATTTTTCTTCTCTTTCACAAAATTACCCGTCTATAATGTCGGGAACAGGCAGACCTTCTGACCATGTACATTTTGACCAAGAATAATTCCAGTTCAAAATGATTTCCATCCATCATGAGAAACAAATTATAGGAACTGGACAAGAAAATTCCAAGCCATTCTGACTCTTCAACCCCAAATGAACTTTAAGAAAATATATTGATATTATAGAACACATTTTCATGGCTACAAATGAAGCCACAATCCACAAAAATACATTACTGCATTAAGAATCCAAAACAAATTTGTAAGGTTAACAACCTCCATGGTCCTGCTCCAAAGCCTGCGTGTTAATAGTACCATAAAGTATTTTCAGCTCTCAATAAGGTCAGACGCCCACGCAGGCTGGGTTTGGGTTCTCACTCAGTTTAATTCTCATAAGAGAAAACAAAAGAAAGGCAAACAGTCCAAAATAGACCAGAAAATATACCTATTTATTTCCAGATTTCTCAAAATGAACTTCAAATAACATCTTCAACGGACTCCTCTGACCGTGAATAAGTAGAATTTTGCTTTCTATTTTAACTCATAGTTTCAATCTTCAGATACTTTTCCTGTTGTGGAAGCCAAAACCGTCCAAAAATTTTTTTTTTTCAAGCCTGTTCTGAAAATCAAGCCTTGGAAGACTTCTCCGTGTGTCACAGATTTGGCATATTTCTTTTTTCCTAGGCACTCGCAATGGTAAGGAATTACCGGCATTGCAGATAACTGCAAAATGAGGGCGTACTTTGTAATTTCTTCGCCAGGGCAGCCCCTCTCTGCTGTGCTCCTGCCATCCCCGCTCAGCCAATGCGTTCGAGTTCTTGACCGACAAAACCCCTTCTGCCCTCGTTAAAGTCGTTTTCAATACTCTGCTCTTGTTTCATGACCGTTCCTGCTGCATTTTTACTATTACGTCTTACACCTGATCGGCACTACTTTTGCAGTGCCAAGGGAAAAAAAAAAAGACAAATGCCATCAAATCCACCTCCAGGTCATGAGAGGGCTCAACATGAGATACCCAGACATAACCTGCTCTTGGGGCAATGCCCTGTTCTCATCTTACGTCGTGCACCCTCTGTGAGCATTGAGGCTGAAACAATGTTTATGTTGGTAATTTTTTACAATGGGTTGTATTCCTCCACTCATCGGTTTTGATAACCGAGTTTCTGAGAAGGCTGGTAGAGCTGTACCTTGGGAATGAAATAGTTCAGGGACACCGTGCCGCTCCAGAACACCATTTTAACTCATGAAGATTTTCTAAACCATGTAAAGAAACTGTTCTCCCCCTTCTAAGGAAGCTGTTCCCCTCTAAAGACTTCTGAAAACTCTCCGCTGGAATTTAATTTTGCTTTGCCTCTGTAAGAACCATCCCATACCCACGGCACCCAGACAGGCATGCTGTTAGTGACCATTAATACATGCAAAAATCCTAACGACTTCCTCCAAATAATAACAACAATAGTTCTTACTATTATTATATATCATTATAATATACACAAATTTTACATATATAAACTAAGATAGAAAGTGGCCATATAAACCTTGGGAGATGTGTGATACTTCCTAAGAACATTGCCAATATTATTCATCCCCGAGGAGACGATTTTACAGATAAGAGGGAATAATTTAAAAGGATTAAAAGAGCTTGACCCAAATCACAGCAAGAGTCAGAGCTGACAGTCAGTTCATTCCTTTCAGTCCCACGCAACACATATAATTCAGAATTCTTTGGGGGGGGCTTCCATGCTGTCCTGTTACCCATGTAGTTGGGATGAGAACCGTGCTTGTTGTTATTATCACTACTCCACATTAGAGCTCAAAAAGCTGTTTCAAAAAAGACTTCTCATACAAATACCCTAACTTCAAAGCCAAATCTCTCAAATCTCTCTTATCTGGCTGAGGAAGCAATACAGCTGCCTCGCTGCAGCAGCGTCACATCAATCACAAACACACTGCACTTGGGAGGCAGCAGACCTCATCTTTGCTCCTCCTGGTAGTTTGGCACGTGTATTTAGTCCGATGACACGGCTCTATGATTTGCAAATGTCCCCAGAACTTTCTAGAGGAGGCACCCATTATTGAAAATCTTGAAAACAAACTTCTATGGTTAGGGGGTAAGAAAGCCGGTAACGATTTTTCTCGATGGCTACAAGCTGCTTTAATAATGGCACATGCCCGGCAAGATGCAAAGTTTGCTGTTAGCTTAACATATTTACCAAGAGAGACATACGCTCTTGCACAAGCAAAACATAAGAGCGCTTAATGTATGTATACCTACCCACCTGCATACAGAGACTGGAAGAGGAAAGACTATATGAGCAGTGACACTGGAACAGATCGCAGTTACAGACTCAGTGTTGAGACAAATTTTGTGGGTCATAGAATCATAGAATGGTTTGGGTTGGAAGGGATCACTGAATTCCAACCCCCCTGCCATGGGCAGGGACACCTTCCACTAGATCAGGTTGCTCAGAGCCCCGTCCAACCTGACCTTGAACACTTCCAGGGATGGGGCATCCACAACTTCTCTGGGCAACCTGTGCCAGTGTCTCACCACCCACACAGCAATTTCTTCCTAATACCTAATCTAAATCTACCCTCTTTCAGTTTAAAATCGTTACCCCTCGTCCTATCACTACACTCCCTGATAAAGAGTCCTTCCCCATCTTTCTTGTAGGCCCCTTTAAGTACTGGAAGGCTGCTATAAGGTCTCCCCGGAGCCTTCTCTTCTGTAGGCTGAACAACCCCAACTCTCTCAGCCTGTCCTCACAGGGGAGGTGCTCCAGCCCCCTGATCATCTTTGTGGCCCTCCTCTGGACCCGCTCCAACAATGTCTTTCCTCATTGGATATATAGCCAGGTCATGTCTAGACATGGACAGTAAGGGATGTATTAGCAGTTCACTCAGCTCCTACCTGCAGAAGGGGCCGCTGCACACCTAGGATCTTCATGGTATCCGCATTAGCCAGTATTTTCAGGGGATCAGATGCCTTTGTGACGCCTTCGATCTCTTTATTGATCTCAGCCAGGACCTGACTGAGGAAGATGTTCTTGATGTACATGGTGAGGAACTCGCGGAGCGGACACTGCTTGGTTGGGCCAAGCTCCATGGCGTGCTCTATCTCCTGGATAAATCTGGAAAACAGAAGGGGAAGAATGCAATGCAGTTAAACCATGTAGTTATTCTAAATGTGTTAGCGTTGCCTTTGCCATTCCTACATCTCAGAGCTAAGGACCAGCAGTGGGGGAATGACTATAGACTGCGCCGACACGAGGCATGAAGAGTAGAAAAGGTCTATAAGGTAGCCTTCAAAAAAAGAATTTACATAAAATGCCAACAGCTGGTGAGACAAAGATTCAACGGCTGCAGAAGAACAGACAAAATGGGGAATTGGTGAAAGTCCACAACCCGGGCACGATTTGCATTTATCGGTCCAAAAATCACCGACTGCTCTACTTGAGACATACTGGAAAGATGTCTTTTTAAAAATAAACCCCCTGTAAAAAAAATTCAGGATGCCAGAAATCCCTTTGAAAAGACAAACTTCCTTCTGGGGTTGGTCACTCAATTCCCACAGATGGGTTCCCCATCTCTAAACTGAACAGCAGTATATTCCAGCTCGAAGTCTAGAGATATCACTGGAAAAAGCAATGCATATGTATTATGCTGATATCATACTGCATTATGTATGTCTGCATTATGCTATATTTTTATTATGTGTTATTGTTTCATCCTAGGATCCCATTCCTGAGTACGCAGAACGGCATGCCGATTCTGGGAATATTTTAACACAAAATGTTTGCCATCTCCTCCTGCAAAATATCTTTATCTCAGTGATGCCATCTGTTTAACACATTGGAGTTTCTTCTAGAAATTACCTTGTCAGTTCTTTAACTTACATCTGAGGCAATGAAATTAGTCTTCCTTTCAAAATTGTACGTATCGAAATAATAAGGAATTGAGTATCAGGAGTCATAATGGATTGAGACATGCTGTCCAAAAGGGAGAAATGTGTATGGTGTTTACACAGCCCTCTTCATCGATGCATGCAAGTGCCTTGCAATCGTTTATATTTTAATCCCACTCCTGGACAGGCTGGGATTGTCTTTATCTTTGTTTTACACGGCAGCAGCAGAAGCAAGTGTTTGACCTTGGATCTCCCAATATATGTAGCAACACCCTCTGCATCCCGAAAGCCACCTCTTCTTCACAAGGAAAGACTTTTTTTCTGCGTAAGACATTTCTAACAGTTCCAGCGCGGTTAGCATTTATTAGAGATGCCTTACCACCAACCATTTTCCCAAACACTTCAACGAGGTCTGCTTAATTGTCCGTAATTTTCTACCTCCATGTTCAGCACTCCAGAGGAGGCAGCTTCCCTTCAGAGGACTGACTGAGGAGCTCCTGTCAATTTTAGTAGCATGATGCCTTCCAAATCTGAACAATTTGCTCCCTAAAGCATCTGCTTTAGGGTGCAGACTAGGTGCAGACTTTAGGTAACTCCATCAGTCTAGAGTGACACATTTGGACCGATGCAGCTATTGCTTCCGCGGGGGGACCCATTCGCAGTTAAGTTTGAAGATTGCCTCTCCAAAGAGAGGTGCTGCGTGGAGAGAAGTGCAAAGGATGGCAGTTCTATTCCCTGGCTTTCACAGATCGATAATGTGAATCGGCTTTATCAAACAGGGAAACAGTGGAGCCATCCTGGAAGAGAGCAGAGAGACCACCACCGAGCTTATCTCTGAAATAACAGACCTAATGTCACCAGCTTCGAGTGACAACCGCTGATGTCCGTAAGGGAACATTGTCAAGGTTGATGGGACCATATTAAACTAACTTACCATATCTTTCAATGTCTGCCAATAAATCACTCTTTCTTTATAAGCTTATTTACACAGCACTTTTGACGCACAGAACTCACAAAAAAAGGTGAATTAACTCTTACAATACCTGCACCATGCAGCCAAATACCATTATACCTCTTTCAGATGGGAAAGGAGAGGCAGGGCAGCTTGAATTTGAAACGAGCAACGTGCAGTGAAGTGAAGGGAACAACTTTTAAACACTTTTAAAATCCAGCACATGCTTAAAAATGGCTAAACCAACATAAATTGAAGAAAACTTTTAGAGGGAGAATAGTCACGTATAAACTAGCAGCAAACTATTAGAGCTCAGATGTGCTGACCTACGGCAACTCCTTATCCCGCAATAGCTTGATGGTGTTTCTAAGTGTTTCCTATACCAGAGACTAAATTGCTTGTGCAAGGCCGTAGGAAAGGTCAGTGCTAGCGAAAGGTGTAATCAAGAATTTTTGATTCCCAGTACCTGGCATTAATCACCATTTCACATCTCTCCTAATCTCCAGCAAAGTTCACCTTGATTAGAGAACTCAGTCCTGATGGTTGACATGTTCTAATAAGCTTTAATTTCTTAGCATAAACAAGACAACAGTGCTTTGCTTAATACTGGTAAGGATCAAAAATATATCCATATTTTACTTGATACAAACCATAAAGTAATCACAGATTACGAGAAAGCTGCTAGATAGCAATGACTCTGCGAGAGGAGATTTTATGAGTGCTCAGCAACACTTGTGATAAAGAACAAATGGCCAAGAGCTTAGGAAAGCAGATTTAAACTCGATATCAGGAAAAAGTTATTAAGAAGGAAACTGTGCACAGCATGGAGGACTAGAGGATATGGATGAGAGACCTTAAATTTGAATGTTCAAGGATAGCGTGATTAAATGAAAATGGTAATGAAAAATGGATAATTTCTGAAGTCTTCATTAATCAAAAGATCTCTACCAAAGGAAATGGAAGTAGAGAAAAGGTAAAGAAAAATGTAGTATGGATGTCAGAGCATCTCTTAGAGTAGGGAACAGCCCTAAGAGTTCAGAAATTTGATACTCCAATGGTACAAGTACTTTACCACTTAGTACAGCCTAAAAGAAGGACAAGTGAGATCCAATTTGCTACAATCTGCTATGGTTCAAGGATGACCTCACCATGTCTTCACCGGTCAGGATAAGTTCCACATCTGCTCTGCCAATGGAGCACCTGAGGCAGCCACCGTGCAGCTCCAAGCTACGGCCCACCAAGAGGAAAACCCCACTGAGCACACGACCGGGGTGCCCAAGCAAGCATCACAAGGCTCCAGATACAGATGTACAGCAGATTTGCGTCAGGAATCCTTCTAGCACATTATATTGCAACAGTGATGCACCCTGCGTGTTCTGTATTGGGAGGATTATTCAGAATGCCATTAAGAACACATTAATCTAATGGAAAACATTAATTTTATGTATTTCTTAAGAGAATTAAGGATGCAAAGTCAAAAGCAAGGATTGGGGTTGCTTGTGCCACCTTAATTTGGCCTGCTGTGCATGACATCATGGTGTAATTCTTAATTACACAATGGCACAGTATTGCTCTTATCAGCAGATCCTTGTCTTGTCCTAGGAACAGGATGGTCAGTGTTCGCACGGTGAATGTCACAGCGTTGGGACTTTACAACTCTCTGCCGCGTGACTGGAGTAACACACACCAGCAGCCAATTGTCATCCGCGGGAATCACTGTGACACCAAGTGAGACACTTCTGCCACAAAGTCCCATGGGGCCGTTTGCATCGCTTCCAGGATTCATTCTTCCTGCCTTCTCATTTCTTCCTATGACTCCTGTTTGTGGGAATTTGGCCACCAGTTCTCTTATTTTCCTTGGTTCCCAGTCCCGCTTGCTCATCCTACATTTCTCCTCTCTTCTTGGCACTTACATCAGGAAGCATCCTCCTCCAGGAGCCCAGCAGGTACAGGAGCCCAAAAAACGTTGCAAGGGGAGGCAGTCCTCGCCTCAGGGACCAGCACCTTTGCAAAGTCCTTGCCCTTAGCTTGGTCCTGGTTAGCTACGGGCAGCATCATGCCCATCAGGAACTTCAACTGCTGCAAACTGGAAGCCTCTTATGAGAGTGTGAGCATTACACTTCTTCAAAGGTGTATAACTAAGCCAAATTTTGGTGTATTTTCGAGGAAGGGCAAAAGGTGCACCCTTTACACAACAGTTCTTACTGAGGAATGTGAAGATGCAAATTCCCAGCCAAAGAAAAGGTCACCAGAATTTGCCAACATGTACGATGTATTTCTTCTCCTCGTTCCCAGAAAGAACAAGTATTTCAGACACATTTTTCTAAAAAAATATTTAGCCCCAGTTGGCAATGCAAGACCAGCCAAATTACAAGAAACTGAAAATGAAGTTTTCAAAATGGGAAGTATTGGGTGGCATTAAAGACCTAACAGATATTCTCTATTTTCTGCTTGGCAGACACATACACATACATTCACAGTCACACACTGTGCTATTTATTTATTTAAATTTCAAATACTGCTGGTTAACTTATTCAAACATAATTCAGCTTTTATAAAGAAGAAAATGTTTAACAGCATCTAAAAAAATATTCTGAGTACTTTCCAAAAATGTTCCCACCCCACTCATACAAGCTATCCATGTAACTATTAAGATGTCAAAAAAGCAATTTGACCCATGGCTATCCCAGAGATCAACGTTTATGTCTGTGTGTGAACCGGCGTACATGGTAAGAAATCACATTTTGGTCAAAGACACACTTATATAAAACGTGTAAAAATCAAAGTGTAGAAAACTTTTCGGCATTTGAATAAAGCGGAGCACCAGGGAAGGTCTGGACATGATTCTTTGAATGGGTTTTGGACACACCCGCACGTGCGTAAATCCAAATGACCAAAAAAAACTCAATCAAAAAACATTGCGATGGTGAAAGGCTGTGTCACTGAGCCCTTTTATACCCTACTATATTCTTTTTACTCTCCAAGGAGTGAAATTTGAGATATGGCTCACTGTAAAAAGGGGCCATAAAGAAGGCCTTGGAGGAACGGCTTTGATTCACTTTCCATTTGCTCTGATTATTCTACTCGAAAAAGAACCATTCAGGTGTAATTTAGTAGGGTTTCTGAAACAGTATCAACACCTGCATTTAAAATATTCTCTCACCAGCACACAAAAACTGAAGGAAAACCTATAAAGGTTAACATGCCATGGGGTGTATTCTCCAAACACGAGAGAATGAGCCACGTGGAACATTCAGGATAGAAAATTCCCCTAA